GTTTGAGATTTCCCAAACCTAGGGCTGAATAGGTGGAGGTGATGAACCACAGGGCGTGCACACTGCAGGGTGCCCACACAAAAAAGTCTTTTGCCTCTGGGCAGTATGATGACCCCTTGCACCGCAAAAGGCTGATCTGGTTTAGCTGCCATCCATGGAGGAAAGGAGAGGAAGTCAGGCTGCTTTTTCTCCAAATCCAACCAGCACCCTTAGCATAATTTGTCAGTGAATTGAGTAAGAGTATGGCAAAGTTCATCAGGCTTACAGATATTTAGGCGTCAATGTACTATGAGGGACATCAGAGCTTTCTAGTACACCGTAAATGTTGCTTGTCTGAGTTAAGAACTCAGGAGCGAGAAACACAGCTGTGGATGGACTTCGTGATGGTTCTTGAAAGGCTCAAAAACTGAAACTGTCCCAGGAGTTGGGGGATTACGTGAGTGACAACTACATTTACATCCATGATGCCAGTGCAAATCTGAACCTATCCTATAGAGGCTAAGCAAGGCATTTTTAACAGTTCAGAGTCCTGGCTCTCCTTTTGGAAGGCAGTCTTGCTTCTCCCGTTAGGCCAGAGAGACTGGGAAAAGGTTTAAATGCAACCTAACGGCGGAAGCTTGAGTCGAGAAGCCATGCACAAGGAACCTTTGTTCCTAGGCAGGCAGAGCCACCTGGCTATTGCTGGCGAGTGGGGCGCTGAGGGTCAGAGGGCAGTATGACCTCATGCTTGGCTGTTTGGCTTGAGGGGGGAGGCAGGTTTGTAACTAGCTTGTCCCAAACTGGGTCTGAGCAGCACGGGAGTGTCTACTCTATCACTGGTTCTGCCCCCAACACACCTCTAGTCACCCTGTCTGGAGAACTGCTCCCTCAGTATTCTTCTCAGAGAATGAGGGTCCAGTTGCATCAACTTGAAGGAGAAAACGTGGAGAAGTGTTCTTAGGTCTAGAATATATGCGGCACCCGTCACTTTTCTTCACTTACCCCACTAGGGTGAAACAGCTGTTTCTGAGATGTATGCTTCCTTCCTTGTTTTAACCAACTCTTCCAGCAGGAGGCAGCAGTAAGCTGAGTATTGTAACTGGAAGCTGAAAAAACTTGAGAACCTCCTGAGGACCTGAGTAAGGAACAAATGACACCTCAAAGGTCTTCCTTTAAAAACCGGCTTCCTGTGCTATGGCTCCTGGACAGCTGGGGGAGGAGGGATTCACCTCCACTTCAGCCACGGGGCCTCCTCGCTTCCACTCTCCCTGCAGGATATATTCAAGTCATACTCTTTGGAAGGTGTAAATTCAAGAAAACCTAATCTTTAGGGGTGGTACTTCTCCCCAGGTAATCTGCAGCTTCGTTAACATTCGCCTGCTCATTCAACCTGCTGCAGATGAGGAGGCGGGCTTTGCTCTAGTTACTTCCAGAAACCGAGGTGTCTACTGCCTGTCACTGGGATGCTGGCTCTTCATGCAGGATTGATTGTCCCACAGCAAGGGGCACATGTCCTCTGCTAAGTGGGGGCAGGAAGGGTTGGCCATGCTAAATTCTGAAACTTATTGTGAAGAGGCCAGGTTTGTGATTTCAGCAATGAACGCTGAAAGCACAAAATAGGAATCACTCATGGCCTGAAATCCTTAAAGATATGTTACATATGTTAGGTCAGCTCCCGGAAGGTGGGGCTGTTTTGCCCACTGCTCTATCTCTAGTGCCTAAAACAGCACCTGCACATAGGCACACAGCAGGCACTCGATAAATAGACCTGCATAAATGAGAAAATGCCATCGATCTTCTTTTCCTCCTTTGTTTTTATCCCCTTCCTCCACCCCACTAATTCTAAGCAAACCATCGAGCATCTGATGACTTCCTGGGATTTATTTGAACACAGTCTGTTAAGGCCTTGTTCTAATATCTCCAGCCAACATTCTAGTTGCCCAAGCTCAAGTCCGAACAGCTCAGACTTCAGTTCCAACCAATGCGGCATAAAGAACATGGGCTTTGGAGCTGGACAGAGAGAAGCTGGAATCCTAATTCTGACATGCACTTGCCATAGATATGCGTAAATGGGAATAAAAGCACCCACCTTATGTTAGTGGAACAATAAATTAGGTTGTCGTAAAGCTCCAGACATACATAGGGCATTCAACCAATGCTTTTTTCCCTTCCAATAATGGAATCCGATGCTATCTCAATTTACCTCGTGCAACCCAACACTTTAGCCTCACATATCCTTACACATAGCGTGTTCATTCCAGACACCACGCCTTTGCTTGTGCAGTTTCCCCTATAGCCTACATATCCTTCCCATTTTTCAACTGCCTGACCCACTGACCTGTCACCCTCTCACTCCACCTATTGGCACTTAATTATACCTCCCTTGGATTATTTTTTCCTTAGGTGTTTGTCTTGAAATTCTCTTGTATTGCCTCAAGGGCTAGCATCATGGTGGGTGTGGATAAGAGATTTAGCAAAGGCTTGTTAAATGAGAATGAGGTTGTATTTAGCTGGAAAAGACCACTTGCTGGGTCTTTTGAGGAATCTCGCTCATCCTGAAGTACTGGTTTTCACGCCATGGAATTTCTGGGTTGGCCAAGTGTCCAAGGGTCTTTCCTGATTTCAAAGGTGAATGTCACACTAGAGGGTGCCGGTACAAAGATGGCCTCCATTGGCACCTCAGGCTGGCTACCTGGGAGTTGCAGAGATGCCCACAACTGTGTCAACAGCAATGTGGAGGGTGGAAAATCACTGGTAGCTCAGGTCCTTATACTCTACCTGTCACTGGGAACACTCCCTAAGGTTCCATTTTTGGACTTCTGTATACTCTGTGCAATTCCTAAACCAGCATTCCTTTCTGACCTCTTCTTGGTCACCCAGACAGGAAATCTCCATGACTGACACTTGTTCTTCCACTCACACATGCTGTCAAGCCTGTTCCCAGTGTAGCCCATTCTCATCTCCACTGCCCTGGTTCAGCCTCTTCATTCACATATGGAAAGCCCGACAGCTTCGACATTCCTCCTGCTAAATTGCTTTCCTGGCCCCTGTGTCTTAGGCCATTTATGACCTGGGAAGGCCTTCCCTGAACTAAATAAAATCCTACCAGTCCTATCAAGTCCCTTCTTGTCTGTGAAAGCTTCTGAAATTCCCTTAACTCGTGGCATGGACACTGCCTGCACGCATTGGACAGTAACATCAGTATTGCTTTAGGACACTTCTGAGCGTCCTTTTACTATTCATAGTACATCTCATCTCCAGATCAGGTTGCAAGCTCCTTGGAAACACACACCATAGCCTAAACACTTCCTCCTATTTCCTGGTTCATAGCATGTGGCATCTGTCCCACTGTTGTCACTGGGTTCCCCAACTGCAAAAACAGTGCTTTTGGTGATGTCAGAGGGTGGGCAGGTCAAACTGTGATGGTCTCCTCGTGAGTATCTCTACAAAAGTTTTGAGACCCAGTATACTGGGATGTTAAATTGCACCAGAGCAGCCTCAACTCCCTGAGATTTTAACTTCCTCAAGGACAAGGACTGTGCCATAGATCTTTGTTACTCCACAGCACCAGCCAGAATGATGCTCAAAAAATACCTGGGTTTAGCAGGACACTTTTGCTCAGTGGGAAAGGCATACAACTTGTGAACAATTTTTATTGTGGTCCCCGAACTACCAGAGAAGCCGTTTTTTTACTGTCTCTTGGACCCTGAGATGTAGGACCAAGAAGGGGAATGGATCTGCTCATGCAGACTTGTGAGCAAGGCCTCTGGTTGGATGTCAGGAGGGGAGAGAGTGAGAAGCTCTCACTGAAAAGCCAAGGAATTGGGAAGCCTGCTCCGATCTCTCATTTGATCCCAGTGCAAGCTTTAGTTGTCATTTTTGCTCTCGTGGTGGCCCCTCCATAGTCTCTTTCCATTCATACAAAAAGTTATGCTGTATGCCTGGAGTCAACATGCCACCGTGGCTGTGTCCTTCCACACACCATCACCAGGCACAAGGATTCCAGCTGCTGTCACAGTCCTTGTTAGGGGAGGGGACTCCAACTCAGCTATAGGAAAGGCCAAGCAAAGGACTTGGCCACTAAGGTCTGCTGCTCCCCAAATGGCAGATTGACAAGTGCTATGCATCCAGAGTTTGTAAGTCCAAGTCAGCCACTACCACTTGATCAAAAGCCATCCACCCCCCAGCATATCCTGTCAAGAGAAACACCTATTGCTTCTCAACAAAGACTTCTGTCTGACATTCAAGGCTTTTGGAAATCTGGCCCTTTTTTGGCTATTTATAAAAGCCATGGCCACCCACACAAATCGCCTGCTCTGGCCAAAGTGAGCAACTTGGTGTCAGGTCTTTGTACATCCTGGTTCCCCAAGACCACCTGACTTTGGCAACACTGGGCCCCTGCCTCCCCCTAGCCCACTCATTATCAGGACCCAGCTGTAGTGTCACCTCCATGAAGCATCCACTTGCATGGACCACCTGCTGGTAACCACCCTATACAATCTCTTTTTTGCTACGTTTTCTTATGGGCGAATCTTAACGTTTCAATGAAATCCTCAAGGCATAGAGCTTGTCTCATGTTTGTGTCTCCCATGACTGCTCACACAAAGGGATCACTCGACAAACATCAGGGGCCCATGGATTGAAGAGAGTCTACATTGGCCAAGGCTCAGGTTCTTCCTTTTGACTCTCACAGGGAATGGGCCCCAGACTGAAGGTGACTGGGTCACTTGACAGGCTTGGGGTGGGGTGGGGGACAAAGACCAGAAGAGAGGTAGCACACACCCTGAAAAATAAGAGATGGGAACAGCCCAGCTCAAACCCAGCCCCATTTGTCATTCACTAGTGTGCGATTTTAACTTCTCGGAGCCAGTCTTCTGAGCTGTACAATGAGGATAGCGCTTGCTCTACTTACCTTGTAGGTTCAGTGTGAGACTCAAATGAGACAATGTATGAGAAAGTGCTTGCTAAGCACCAGAGAGATAGCAGCTGCTGTTAGTTATCCATATAGAGTTGAAAAGAGCTCAGACAGGGGCCAACTCTTGGCCCTAGGGCGAAGGTGGCTTTTATTTCCTCTCTTGGGGAAGGAGGGGGAGGGAGCTTTCCTATGCACATCAACCTAAGGAAGGGGTGGTTGCGCCCCCAGAGGATGGTGCTGGAAGAGCCAGATGATCATTCAGAAGGGCTCCTCCGTGTCCCCGTCCTGGCCCTGGGCTGCAGGGTGTGCTCCTGAGAGTCACTCCCCTTGGGGTGGCAGCTTCTGCATGAATGGAGGCACATGGAGGTATCTGCTGGTGTTCACGAAGAGGAAGGGGGAGCAGGTGCCCTGAGTGAGGGAGCAGAGAGCTGGGGTGGCTGACCCCACACCCAGTGCCTGCCCAGGATGATAGATTTCACAAGGCTTGGCTGGTGTGACTCTTCTCCCGAGAAGGGCCAGAGTGGCCCAGAGGCATTGCTCAAACCGATGGCTGGTCCTCTAAATGTCCATCTCAAACTGTGACTCTTCACCTACGGAGAGAAGGAACAGAGGGCCAGGTGAGCAATGGGCAAATGGTAGGGCTGACATTTAGAGACCAGTGAGAGGCATTAGTTTTTCATTCTATTGTTCCTACAAAAAGAGCAGGGGCCAGGTTTATGCCAAAGAGAATGGAGGGAGGACTACACTAGAAATTCCTGGCAACACAGGCCTGAAGGTTCCATGTTGGCTGTGCTCTCTTCCCTAATCCCAAAGGAAGAGCAGAGACCAGGTCTCCCCATGGGAGAGGGGACAGTCCTGAATTTTGTATAATTTTTAATAAGAGTGAATGGTTGGCTACTTATGATTTGAAATAAACTCAACTTCATAGAAAAATATTCCTTAAACATAAAACTTCTTTGAGCATGTGGTCCAATGTTTGGTTTAGAAAATGGTACCATAACCTTACTAGGCATACATCCGATTGCTCACGGAATAGCCTGACCCTGCGGCAAAGCAGTTATCTGAGTAATTCAGCCACTCACTCCCGTCACGCAACTCTTTCCTCTAAAATTTCCAAGGAATTCATGCTACAGCAGGTGGTTTCTTCTTAATGGAACTGCCTCATTCACGATCTCCTGGACAAGGCTGCTCCAGGGGTCTATAGAAGAAGATGCCTACTCTGGCACCCACAGGGAAACTGCTGGTCCACAGATACGTGGGTTCCAGGGCAGGAGCCTTGGATTCTTACATCCAGATAAGCAAAATGAAAAATTACGTCCCTCCCTCCTCACCACACCCCATCACCACAACTGAGTGCAGCTCCTAGGCCGTTATTGTGGGGTAAGAGCTGTCTACCTGGGGCACCACTGGGCCAAGCCTGCATTTGCTATGGGCCAGAGCAGCTCTAGGAACCAGGAGGGAAGAGGGCATGCAAATAGAGGCAAGGGACAGCCTTCAGGTAGTGGTGACTCAACAATTTTAGGTGTTGACTACCTCCATCTTCAACTTCCAGTCTTTGGTTTGAGGCAAAAAGTTAGGGTGGGAGGCACCCACTGTGCAACCAACCATGTGAATCTATCCATCTTTTTCTCCATCCTTTAACAAACAGCAGTTGACCACGCTGCCTATTGCCGTCCTTCATATTGCTCTCTGTGTGTGCCTGGATCCAGCTCTCTCCCTCCCACTGCTCTCCAAGTCTGAAAGGCAAGGCAACAGTTGCCTGTCTTGGGCTGTGGGATTCCCCAGGTAATTACGAATCACTGCAGGCCCCGGATATATGGATTCTGCTGCTGTCAACAGAGCCAGGCCAGCCCGAGGTCCTGGCTGCTTCCTATCTGGCCTTGGTGAACCGCCTTCCGGGTGAAGGGTCAGCAGATCCCAGGTTGACTCAAGTTGCCTGCAAGTGCTTACACTGCATTCTCCTGCAGTGGGAGAGCTCAGATGCTCTGCCCAGCCAGTCACGACGCCACAAAGAATGCATTTACACATCTCTGCTGGGTGGCTGCTCTGATGACTTGGGGGGGAACACACAACACCAGGAAGGACCCAGCTACTCCATGTCAAACATCCAGCAACAAGTGGTTGCATTGTTTCTACCTGTCTCCATCAAGAATCCACTAGTGGACCAACACCCTGACAGAAGGCATCCTGGATGCCTTTCTGATCCCATAGACGCGTAATTTCCTCGAGGGAGGTATACTGTGTCTTTCATAAGTCCTCTCCTGCACGTGAACATCGTAGATGTGTTCCAAGCATTGCAGATACATGGTAATGCTTCGGGACAATTATACAATCTATCACTAATTAGATTACCTGATGAGGCTAAATCACCTTTTCTGGGGTTCTTGGGCTCCTTTCATGGCGAAAGTTGGTACTGATGAAAGTTCCACCCCCATCCCCACCCCCACCCTCTGGACTCTGAGCTGCTTTACAGGGTGGGGCAGTCAGCATAATCCCCCTCCCTGGAACTCCCCTAGTGGATGGGACCCACAGCCTCATACACTCCCTTCCTAAGGGAGAGCCTGGCCAAGCCCGGCCACTCACCGCCCGCTGGCTTATCTTCTGGGCTGTTGCGCAGGTGGTTCTGGCTGGCTTCTGTCGGGGGCTCATCACTGGCAGGGCTGGTGACCCCAGGAATGGTGGGCAGGTCCCTTGGGGGTGTTTTGGTCACAGGTGAATTCCGACACTCCATCAGGAACTTCCGGTCGTAGATGATCCTGGTACCTGGAAGGGGACAGGGGCATTGGCAAAGCCACCCTGAACCCCTACCTCCTCGTTTTCCCGCTTCTTTGAGGTGTGGTTGCAGCAAAGGCAGCAAGTTTTCCTGCAAAAGCTGGACCAAGGAGGGGTGTGGCTTATTCAGGTGCCTGGCTGCAGCCCGGGACTCTGCCGTCTCCAAACCGCCCTGACTCCCCTTCACATCGGGCACTCAGATGGAAGAAGGGGCCTGCTGGCCACCAGACTGCACCCTTTCTCCCCTTAGAGCTCTGCGCATCCTGCTCTCTCTCCTTATGGTTCACCAGTTCACTCACTGACTCGGTGCTCGTGACAATCCTATCAGACAGTGGAGAAAGTGTATTTTTTATTCATTTTTCAATTCCCTTCTTAAAGTATCCTGGTGGGATATCCAGGATCTTTAACTCCATTTTATGAATAAGCAAACAGAAAATTAAGTGATCCCCCAACCTAGTAAAAATGAGATCTTTCCTGCCTGGGCTTTACGGAGAGGAGTCACACACGGACTCCACCTGCCCCGCAAAGGCTCTCCTGCTCAGCCCATCGCCTCTGTGAGCCCTGTGCCCCAGTCTGCCCATCTGCTCTGTGAGCCCTGTGCCCCGGTCTGCCCATCTCCTCTGTGAGCCCTGTGCCCCGGTCTGCCCATCTGCTCTGTGAGCCCTGTGCCCCGGTCTGCCCATCTCCTCTGTGAGCCCTGTGCCCCGGTCTGCCCATCGCCTCTGTGAGCCCTGTGCCCCGGTCTGCCCATCTGCTCTGACGTGTCACCGCCCGCCAGAGTTTGCACACGGTCTGCATTTCATTCATTTTCTTTCCCCTCTCCTTCCACAGCTGTCCCTAGAGGGTGAGGACCATGTCTTATGGAATTATTCACGACCTTTAAACCATACCCAGGACTCATCCCATGAGGGCGGTTACCTGAGTGACACCTTAAAAAGCAGTGTTCTCTAAAGTACAGGCCCCAAGATCCTTGCGGGAGACCCACCTGATCCATGACATAAAAGTGAGCAGTGAGACGGTTATTTGCGTTGGGTCCGTTTAATCCCGATTACCTCTAAAGCACCGGCAAGGTACTAGTGATGGGTCTGTAACACCCCACAAACATTTCCTTATTGCTCCCTTTGCAACAAAGAGCAGGCCTCAGGCTCAAAGCCTTCAGCAGGCAAAGGACTCTAACTAGAATTTAAAAACTGTCTTGTTGCCATTATATTTCTTTTTATAGCTACCTTCTATTTATGGCAAGTGAATCTGGTTTTCCACATATAGTTGTCATATTGTTTCCTTTTAAAATATAACTTAATATGATAGTATATAATATATAAGTTACATATTATATATGCAATAAAATATAATAAAAACAAGATTTAAAAGGTAAGGTGATGTTAAATATATGTCAAGTAGACCGCAAAGTACAATAAAACTGCCAATGGAATATGAATGACCTGAGTTTAGAAACCATGATTTAAAGACCTCAGGAATGCCCCTCCTTATCAACAACCCTGAAATATCGCCCTCTTTCTTTTTTTTTTTAAGATTTTATTTTCTTCCTTTTTCTCCCCAAAGCCCCCCAGTACACAGTTGTATATTCTTCGGTGTGGGTCCTTCTAGTTGTGGCATGTGGGATGCTGCCTTAGCGTGGTTTGATGAGCAGTGCCATGTCCGCGCCCAGGATTTGAACCAACGAAACACTGGCCCTCCTGCAGCGGAGCGCGTGAACTTAACCACTCAGCCACGGGGCCAGCCCCTCTCCCTCTCTTAAAGGCTATGAGGAGTGACATTCCAACAGCTGAGATTCGTTTCTTGATGTTAAGCACTGGCCCCTCGGTTAACTCCAAGCGAAGAGAGGAACTCATCTGCATCTCTGAGCTCTGAGTATGAGATAATGAGATTGGGCTCCTCGCACGGAGGAGCAACTGGGATGCTGAAGGACAGAGCAATGTCGAGAGACACATGAGGATGAACTTGGCCTGCTTGCACGTATGGTCGGTCCCAGCCTGACTGGCCCGATCTGGGCGCTCCCTCAGTCTTGCTCTCCTCATCTGAGAGGCAATAATGCTGAGGTTGACAGCCTGCTCCTCATCACTGGCTGGGCTAATGTTCAGGGCTTGCGTTCCCCAAGGGGAGGACATAAAGCAAAGAACACAGAACCGGGCCTGCACTTTGGGTTCTGCTACCAACCAGCTGTGCGATCCTGTGCACATTGCCCTCTGTGCCCACCCCTCCCCAACTTGGGCCTCAGTTTCCTCCTCTGTCACACGAAGGGCTGTGTTACAGCCTGAGTGCCTACGAGCCCAGTGGGTTACACATGGACAACAACTGTGCCCTCTCCTTGAGGGAGGATGTCCGCTTCAGAGATGGGACCACTTGTCTCTATTTCTTAATCCTCAAGGCTTGGCAAGAGACCCCTTCTCCTTGCTTCCCCGCAACTTTGATTTTTTGTTGGTTTGTTCACCAAAGAGTAGCGAACTGACCCCATCGGAGTGGAACTTAAGAGCTGGAGAGTCAATAGCCTCAAAAAGAACTTGGGGGTCAGTAGCTTCTGAGAAGGTTGTTTAAAGGTCACTAGCCTCCAGAGATTTTTAACTGTTATAAAAGAAACATAGCATAAAATTTGCCATCTTAACCATTTAATGTACAGCTCAGTAATGTTAAGTACATTCATATCGTTGTGCAACCCATCTCCAGAAGTCTTTTCATCTTACAAAGCTGAAACTCTACACCCATTAAACAACTCCCACTCATCCTCCCCAGGCCCCCACAACCACCATTCTACTTTCCGTCTCTGTGAATTGGACTGCTACAGGCACCTCATATCCGTGGAATCATACAGTATTTGTCTTTTTGTGACTGGCTTGTTTCAGTTAGTATAAGGTCCTCAAGGTTCATCTATGTTGTTGCACCACGTGTCAGAATTTCCTTCCTTTTTAAGGCTGCATAATATTCCATTGTAAGGATAGACCACAATTTGTTTATCCATGGACATTTGGGTTGCTCCCATCTTTCAACTCTTGTGAATAATGCTGCTTTGAACATGGGTGTGTAAATATCTCTTTGAGACCCTGTTTTCAATTCTTTAGGGTACAAACCCAGAAGCGGCCCCTGGTGATTTTTAAATCATTAATTATACTTAAAAGAGAAAAAGAAACAGCCTCTGTGCCCTTTGTCCTATGGCTAGGGCACTTAAAAATAAAAATCCTCATTTGAGCTAAGAAAGTCCACAAATTCAATGTTGGCAGAGGCGGCACCTGAGACACCCACCATCAGCGCATTTCAGCTGGGAAGGGAGGCTGCACGGGGTAGAGAGTGGTGTTCAGAAAGTCGGTTGACAAGGCGCCCTGCTCAGGAGGGGAGGGGACCACAGAGCCACCTCTGACTCCTCTGGGGCCAGTGCGCAATAGGAGCTGGCAATCAACATGGTGGAAATGTTTCCTCCAGAAGCTGCTTTTAACGCTTTCTTCTCTTTTTTTTTTTTTTTTTAAAGATTTTCAAAAATTTTTCCTTCTCCTCCTCAAAGCCTCTCAGTACATGGTTGTATATTCTAGTTGTGACTTCCTCTGGTTGTGCTATGTGGGACGCCGCCTCAGCAGGACCTGACGAGCGGTGCCAGGTCCGCGACCAGGATTCGAACAGGTGAAACCCTGGGCCGCCGAAGCAGAGCGCGCGAACTTAACCACTCGGCCGCGGGGCCGGCCCTTTAACCCTTTCTTCTTCCATCCCTTCCTGGGATCCACCACTACACAGCTTCAGTTAACAGAGATCTTTGGGAAATTCCCTAAGCCTCCTACAGATGACGCAAACAAAACACATGCAGTCCCATATTGTCAAAAATAGGAAGCCTTGGCTGAAAATGCTGCTACGGTTTCCTGGAGCTGGGGACTTGGCCTGCAAACTGGGACAGGAAATGGAAACCAGAGGTGGATGCCAAGGTCCCTGCAGGGTGTCAAACAGCGGCAGCTGGAGGTGCTGGTCAGGTGTGGTCTTCTGGGGTATGTGGATGTCACACCAGGCGGTCTCCACACAACACTATAGCCGAGGGCCTACTTCCTCTCTCTGTTAGGGAAGATGACCCACCTCCCCCAGGTTTCACAAACAAGAGCAAGAAGAGCTTTTGAAGATCTAGGCAGCTTCAAGATGGCAGAGCCAAGACATTTTTCCTGTTGCTTCTCTCAAAAGTCATACAAAACTCCAAGAACAGGAAACAGAAGCACCTACTCCAACTTGGATGCAAATGGGGCTCAAACTGTCCCCCAAATCACAATATATGAAGACAGAAAGTGAAGGGAGGAATGGAACCCCAGGAGGGAGAGGAGACAGGGAAATTGAGTTAGCCTTGACCTCTGAATGGTGGGCCTCAGACGCCCTCCCTGCCCTGCTTCGGAACAAGGAGTAAAGACAAAGACCTACAGAAAATGATTTTGGAAGGGGGATCCCAATGAAAAAACCAGTTAGCCACCAGATAGAGCCCACCAGTTTCTGGACCTCACAGTTCCAGTCAGTTCTTAAGTATCTCACTCTTACATACAGTCATGCGTCGCTTAACGAAAGGGATATGTTCTGAAAAATGCGTCATTATGCGATTTTGTGGTTGCGCAAACATCATACGGTGTACTGAAGGGGAACAAATTTGCCACCCCAAAATGTGTCTTTTTTTAAAGGTCCTGAGGTGATTTTTTTTTTAATGTATGCTTTTTGGTGAGGAAGAGTGGCCCTGAGCTAACATCTGTTGCCAATCTTCCTCCTTTTTTTTCTCCCCAAAGCCCCAGTACATAGTTGTATATCCTAGTTGTAAGTCATTCTAGTTCTTCTATGTGGGATGCTGTCTCAGCATGGCCTGATGAGTGCTGTGTAGGTCCTCACCAGGGTCTGAACTGGCGAACCCTGGGCTGCTGAAGCAGAGCATGCAAACTTGACTACTCGGCCATGGGGCCAGCCCCCAAAATGTGTCTCTTTAACATGAAGATTATTCTAAGCTGATTATTATTACTATTTTT